TTCGTAATTTTACAGAGTCGTTTTCATATGAACTCACCATTCAAATTCCGAATCCTATATTCATAGAAGGCATCATTTCCGTTTTGGAGTATCCTGATAAAATCGGCCTACAGGATTTTTGTGACTCAACGAAGCCTCGTTTCTACTTTTGTGATGCCAACGGATACTTGTTGTCACTTTCGTAATGCTCGTTGTAGTACAGACTTTGTAATCGCCGATGCAACTATAGAAACGCCGTCGAACAATACTGGTGTCAGACGCCTTCGAATAACAGTTACACTAATGGTACTTGCTTGATAATATTCTCTCGAACAATAATCCGTATAGTGATCAGTATAGAGAAATAGTATAATGAACAGAGTAAATAGCGATCCGTATAGTAATAGAGGATAGAGTAGAAATAGCGATCTGAATAATAATCAGTATAGACTAGAATGACCATCATTAGTCGTCAGCTACTTCCTACATATATGCGTTTTCTCTATGGTCACGTGGTTTAGTTAATTCAATAATGGGATCGCCTGTGTTTGTTCACTGGTGATCTATGTTTAAACTCAAGTGTCGGCAACGACAATTTATTCCTATATAACTGTTATATCTTTTGAACAGTTTTGTGGTTCTGAATTCAAAAACAACATCCATTATCCACCAATAGCTTTAGTTTTTTTCTGCTCCAGAACACCATTTTCTACGCACAAAGGAATATGACTGGGTTAAGCCAAAGTAAATGTAAACAAAAAATCAATGCTTGTTTGAAGTTCAAACACATTCTTAGTGTGAAATAAAACCCAACTCTGAAATACGATAACTATAACACAATAAGCGATTAAAATTCGAATATTGAGAGCAATTTTGTGTCATGGCAAGAACTTTCGCTTATTTGATTTTCGCGAATGAATAATAGATTTTTCTTGTTGTTAGTTCCGGCAGTAGCCAGACATTCTTTTGCTCCATATTCATTGGTACCGTTCTTCCATAGCTTTAATGTCTTGCTGGAATCCTTTACCTTACTCATGACTAACTTCATACAAATTAAATTATATTTCTGACAAACTCAACTTTCTATCACAATTGTTTTATGTAGACTATGTAAAGTAATTATACCTAAAGACTTTATATTGCTTTCATTGATAACTTAGAACAATACAATTATTGTAATTCTCAACATGCATTAGATACAAGGACTTTATAATGTTTCCAATGATAACTTACAACAATACAATTACAGACCTTATCATTATGCATAATCATAATATAAAACCCAATGAAGAAGTCAATAACATTCGTGGTTATTTGCAAAAGGTATTTAGAATTAATTCGAACATTATGGGAAATTTGTCTACCAATAGTTATATTAAGCAAAATATCGAGCCAGTAAAAATGAACTTGATTTTTTAACTCAATATCCAAAAATTAACGAAGAAAAATTACAATTTGGTTTTACACCAAAGCATGTGCAGGTCAGTTTAAATTTTATATGAATACCTAAGATATGATAGATGAGGTGTGATAGTCTGAGTTTGTACCGAATGGAGGGATAGAAACCTTCCATCAGCATGTCTGATGCTAACCTCCTCGTAGCGCCTTCTCGGACTAAAGTTTTCCGCTGACAAGAAGCAGAAAAATATATTGAATAAAGTCTGCAAATAGGAAAATTAGTTTACTGTCGAGTTGGACAATGTTTCTCGCCAGAATTTATTTTATATATTTACCATTCGTCATTGTTTTGAATATTGCAGCCACATATGTGCCAGTGCTCCTGCTATATATTTAGTAATTCTTGATAAAATCCACAGTAGAATCTGCCATATTATTGATCCTGACCTAGTATCTCGGTGTCACTTTCCCACTGCCGTAACATAGCTTCCCTGTGCCTTTTCTATAACAGCTTTCATGGTAGTTGTTCTGATGAATTTTATTATACCTAGACTTTATGAATTCAAGGTAGTACTAGATTGGCGGCAAGGTCTCATCGTTTTGCAGTTGAAATAGCTAGATGTAACCGTAAGTTCTATGCTAACAGTTTCTTCTTCGCACTCCTCGCTTGTGGAACGCTCTTCCGTCTTCTTACTTTCCAGTCAATTTTGATTTTCAAAAATTTGCATGTAATGTCTGTTTTTTAATTCTTGTTCTTTTATTGTCTTTTCTCCTTACTAGTATATTTTTCTCGTATTCTCTAACCCCTTAAATTTTAGTGGCTTTATTGCCTTGAGATGAAATGATTAAAAGTAAAAAGTTTTGGTGGACGAATATAGGCAGCACTTTTGTCTTTACAAAAGAAATCTTAGTGACGTTTTACATTTTGTCTTGTGTGCATTATTTTTACAGAAAGAAAATTGGTATCTTTAAAGCATAATTTTTTTATTTAATGGGAAATAGATAATTTAGAAATCTGAATGATAAATGTTAGGTGTGACGATAACAGAGTGTCGTGATATTGTCAAATCCTGTTTGCTTCCTCGTTTCTCGCGAGATTTATTCTTGATGATTATTCTTAACGACTACAGAATCGAATGCGTGCACTTGCTCAAGTTGTCTCCTTTTATAGACGGCAATCATAAATATTAGTTCGATAATCTTAAGGGATTTTCCACTTCAACGGAGCCAGTCTGGTAAGCATAGAGAATCAATGGGCTACGACCGGGCCTGTTCAATAACACTGATCGCGATACCGGTACTTGCAATGAAAGAGGATAAAAACCTCAACATAGATGCGAATAAATCCATAAAAGGTCAGACATAGAGCAGAGTGTACGCAAACACGCACGAAAACAGACTCGCATACACGCACACACACACACACATATATATATATGTTGCCATCCACAGACACACTGTTTCGCTGTATCACAGCTCATCAGTGTGGTAGACGTCCGGTTGCCTCTAGCTAGGATCGAAATCCGGCTAAATTGGCGTCAGTTGGCGCCCGGCAGGGATGAAGGTGAATTTAAATGTATTTATTTATAGATAAACACGCCACGGGCTGAGAGATCTTGATTCGTTTTATCGAAGAGTATTGCATTATTATCAGTAGTAGTCACTGTTTACAAACTCACACTTTCTATAGAGATCTCAACCGAAATAATTTTTCAGGAGCATATATATTGTCA